ACCCATGTTTTCTGGTACAGCAGCCCAAGAATCCAAAAAGGGAAAAGAATCCAATGACCTCTTGGCCTAGTGGCAAGAGTAAGGCACCCCTTGACATGAGGTCAAGGGTTCGAGTCCCCCGGAGCGCAATAGTGGAACAATTAATACTGAGGATTAGAAGCGGCAGTGTGGGAGGCTGAAACTCGGTGGGAACCAACGGCTGGATAGGTGGGGCCAACATGAAGTTGGGGGGACCAGCGAGCGATCACTTCGATGGGAACCAGCGGCTGGATAGGTGAGACCAACTTGGAGCTGGGAAGGCCAGCGAGCGATCACTTCGGTGGGAATCAGCGGCTGGATAGGTGGGACCAATTTGGAGCTGGGAGGGCCAGCGAGCGATCACTTGGGGATCGACTCCTTGTGCGCGGTAGTTGAGGGTATTAAGTACCTGGGAGCCATTGTGTGGTTACCGCGGTTTAATTGGAGGCAGTGTCTGAGGGGCCGGAACTGTTTCTTCGAGGACTAGTCAGGCGCAAGCCTGGAACCTCGGTATCAAAGCAACCATTTTTCCTTCCTCCCCTTCCTCTCATCTCCATGAAAACAAAGCTTCTGCAACCCCAATGAGTAAATCCCACCAATCTTAGCACCTCATCTTCCCATCTGCAACACCCATGGATGAGTAAGCTCTAAACCCCCTTTGTACCAAATCTCGTTCATACGCTCGAATTAATTGCATTTTAAATAAAAAAAAATCGCTTTTTATCTTTGCAGATCTGATGTTTACCCGAAGGACCCATTCACCCCTCCACCCCGGCGCACCTCCTCCGGCGGCGGCCCTTCCACGACCGGTGTCCACGTCACCGCCCTCGACGGCCTCGTGAACGTGAACTCCCTCTTCACCATCGCCGTTTTCGTCGGCCTCTCCCTCACCACTCCCGGGCAGCACAGCCTCGAGAACCCCTCCGCCTGCGACGCCGGCCTCGACGTGGCCAGGAAGCTCCTCGTCTTCGAGGTCGTCTCCTTCAGCTTCTTCCTCTTCTCCTCCCTCGTGGCGCAGGGCCTCAAGCTCGCCATCAACTTGCTCAACAGCAAGGACGTGGACGAGGTCTTCCGGGCTCACATCAACCTACGCGTGCTGAGGTTCGGGATGTTAGCCTCCGCAGTGGGGTCCGTCATGGGCTGCCTGTTCCTCATGTTGTCCATGGTGAATGTGATCGAGATCAGACTCGGGATGCTGTCTTGCGGCAGCCGATCCACGGCTCATGCGGTCACGGCATTAATTGTTCTGGTGACCTCTGCTCTCTTGGTTTATATTTCGACTGCTGTGTATGCTTTTCTGCATTGAGTTTGATGGGACTGATGAAGATGATAATTGGTTTGGTGCGCTTGATGTGTTGGATGAAATGTTGAATTAGCTACTTGTTGTATACTTGGAACTAATCAATCTCTTTTTATATGATTAGAGAAAGTTTCGGCTAAAGATGTGATCTTGTTGAAGTAAAGTCGTTTTCTTGTTGAAAATTGATAAGCTGATAAGTTTATGGATATCTAACTTCAGTTTTTCTTTTTATGATACCTGATAAGTTTATAGATATCTAACTTCTCGTGGTAAATTTTCAGTTTTGTTGTTAAGTTGATTTTGGAGATATTTTCCGGGCAATTCTGTTAGATTAGTTCATAATATGCAACCTCTGAGCCAGATTTTCACACACAACATAACTCTTTGACTTTCATTGTACGGACTAAATGACTGTGGTCTGCAAGGTTAAGATTGCTATATTCTTATTTTAAGGACATCTCCTTGAAGAGGATGTTTCTTATTGGATGCTCCATCGAACAATACGCGTGAGGAGCTATTTTATGTACCTGCATTATTCAATCCTCACCACAAGGTTGAATCCTAAGATTAAAAGTTCATTGCTGCTAGCACTGTAAGAAACATAGGTCTTCATGAGGCAGATGGTACTGAAGTTGAATTATTGAGATTTTCTATTTTAGTGGATTTACTTTCTGTTGAATGGAATATTGTATAGAGTTGTGAAAAAAGGTGATAAAGCTCCAAGAACCAAATATGGGCTTCAATTCCTATGATTTCCAGTTCTCTTTGATCTGTGTTACCTTCTCCCTTCAATATTATGTTGTGACTGTTGAAATCTCTCCATTGTTTGAAAGTTGGTTAACTAAGCGGCTCTTGATGAAACCTGGGCCTTTTGCTTATGTGCACTTCGATAACAATGTTACATGACACAGATAAACTATTGATATCCTTTCTACAGGATTTTCTTTTTATTTATTTTTTTCAATTTTTTACGAAATTTTCCCCCTTTCCATGGCAATATATTGGTTTGTATTCTAATCTAATATAACCAAATCATGCAGCCAATTCCAAGGGTAAGTTTTCAAGCAACAGTTTGGATTTGGCTTGACTAATTTTCGGCCTTATTCTCAGAACTAATTCAACTAAATAGACCTTTCTTGAGGTTTGGTCTTTTAGTTTATTCCGTATACGTAATCTATTATCATAGACTTTCAAATTCACACACTATCACCCCAAATATTGATGTCATTTGACGCACAACAATACCTGTAATGCGTTATTTTCTTGTCCAAATTAGCAAGGCTTATCCTGAAGAAACTACTAACTTGACCTTAAATCTGTTAATAAAAATAGGGTGTTACTAGCAATTCACTAAAAATATCAGTTTTATCCTTTTTCTTTTGACGCTATTAGTTTGAAAAACGCAATAATAAGTCCAAGAATTAAAAGAAAAGAAAACGCTACTTTAATTTCTCTTGCTGCCATCAAGCAGGCTGTATGGAATGCCTCTGGTAGTAATGTTTGATTAAGAATTGAACCAATTTTTTCTGGATGGTAAACAAATCAAACTTTTTCGATTTGATTCATAATTCCAATTCAGTATTCGTATTCATAAAATTTTGAATTCTAATGCAAATAAGAATATTTTTTACTTTTTAAGTAATCAAATTGTTTTCGAATTTGAATCCAAATATGGACATTCAATTCAAAATTTTCAAATATTGATTCGTTGATAATAGTTATATAAAATTTAATATGTTATATAAAATATAACTTTTATTTATACAATATATCTACTAAATATACATATAAATTAATAAAATTTATTTATATTAAAAAAATACATTTAAAAAATATGAATAATTCATAAAAACGAATTTCAAATCGAGTATAATAGATTATATTAATCTTATCAAATACAAATCACAAAATAAATTTAATAACGAATAGTCAAATATTTTTACGAATTTAAATTGAATAGTCGAGTATTCACTTTAGTTATTTTAAAACCCCAAACTTTTACTAATTAAAAGAGCTTAATTTATCGTAGCTGTAAAGTATTAAAAGCCAAACTGAAAATTTGAAACCAATAAGTGTTGTAAGTAGAATTGTAGAAAAATCTGAGGAAATTTTGTAATTAGCATTGTTCTTTTTCCATCTCCTTCGACAATTGGAAACACAAGTCCCAAACTAGGCCTGATTGACCCTTCTATTTTATTTGCCTGCCCATGATGAGGTAGCTCACTCGGTAGAGCTGTAAACAAACAAAGTCAAACTCGAGCTTCTGATAATCAAACACGACTTATTGGATCGAGCTTAACTAAACGAGCCAATAAACGAGTTCAAACTCGACTTGTTTATCTACGCCGAACTCAAGTTATAAGTTCAAAATATACATAAAATTCCATATTCCCGAGCCCTAAAACGAGCCGCAGTCCAACCTTTGCTAACACTAAGCCCTTCACACAGTGTTCTTCAAAGCTGTTAAAATAGATATTTTGTCTGTTCATGTAAATTCCAGCAACAGATTGTGAACTTCTTCACCGATCAAATAATGTCTACTTTGAGTTTTTAGCAAGAAAACTGTCATCTAAATAGCCCGGGCCATAGGACATGCAGCAAGTTGCCGAGCAATTCATCAAATAAAACACGAACAATGGAAGATTTAACAAGATAAAACAGATCATCAGTAGTACCGTAAACGAAAACCCGTCCAAAACTCTTAACGGGTTTTGGTCTTTTTCTGTTCTTGGGCCCGGAATGCGTCACATATCTTCTTCCAGCTTCGTACGACAATGGTGGTGGGAATTATAACCCACCATATATTGGCCATGATGTAATAAGCGTAATAATAGAATGCGTTTGTGGCGAAATTGTCCCCTTCAAGTAAAGCCGTAATAAAGTACACGGCCGCACCGTAAAGCTGTCCTAGAGAGATTGCTATTTGAAGTATGTGACTATATGACTTCCTTGTTGCTATTGCATACCTGCGGGATGCCAAAGGGTAGCCTCTAAAGTCTTGGTAAACGAAACTCGAAGGAAATGTGTAATTACAAAAATGACCCTAGTGTAGTGTTTACAAAAACTCTGATTTTAATGATTGTCATCAAATGTTTTATATTTAGACGGGCCTAACGGTTATGCAGTCATACTTTTTTGTAACAAAAGTATGACAAGTCGAAGACTGCCTCACACAAGAATTTATAACTGTAACTCCCAACTTTCTAAATTAGTCCAAATGGCCTCAAAAACATTTTGTGTGGCTATCGTATTTAGAAAAATAAAAGAATGCTAGTGCAAACACTAAGGCTATGTTTGGTAAAACTAGTTGATAAGCTAGCTTATATCTTATAAGCTTATGACTTATGGCTGAAACACTAATTTATATGATAAAAGTGTTTGGTAAAATTAGCCGATAAGCTAGCTGAAATAAAAATTTCAACGAGCTTATTTGAAAATTACCCAAAGAAACTTATGCGACAAGCTTTTTTAAAAAAACTCGTCTTGAATACAGGAAGCTTATAAGCTAATCAAATAAGCCAGTTTATTTGGTTACCAAACATATCCTAAAATGGTTTAGAATGTCTAATATTAAGAATGTCGATTAAGGTCAACACATACACTGCTAGGAGACAAGCGGGGCCCTCTACAACAGCGGTTATTCCTTCAACGGCAACCACACCAGAATCCCGTCCTGCATACCGTGAGTCACCCTTGCTATATTCTTTCCCTATAAATTTTCATAATCAGTAAAAACATAAAAAAAAAAAAAAACAAGATGTAAGAACCTCAAGCCAGATAAAATTATCGATAGATGATTTGTAAGTAAGATCGATAGCTTACAAACTTCAGCTAAGTAATGTGGGGTCTTCTCTTTGTAGAATTCGGGAGAGAAAGCAAAGTAGCCCTCAAGGATAATGTGAGTTAGGCCCGTGAATATCCACCAGCACATAAGTAATCTATCAACCTTTGATATCTTACGAAAACGTCCTATTATGAGATTATATGAAACTTTCAATCAAAATTTACTTTAAAATACAATGACAATTAAAATTTAAGAAGAAAATCTCTGCTGCAGTAAGTGCAGAAACTAGTTCAGGAAAAAGAACATCAAGGGTGAGAATTCATAATATACACATGTAAGAATGTTTTTTTGGCAGGTTACATTACAAGAATCACTTCTGCTTTGCATTTGCATAAAAACAGTAGTATGAGGCGTACCAGATAAAATCCACATGAAGGAGACAACTAGCAAAGAAGAGATGCCATAAACGGCAAGAATAGTGGATTGAGAGAGAAATCCAGGCACGAATCCAGGCAATTTCAGGTCTTTTGGAACATAAGGATGATCAGCTTCGCTTGAAATTCCCATTTCCCCCTAATCTGAAAGACAAGAAGTCTGATGATAAAAAAAAAAAAAAAAAAAAAAAAACACAAAAGTTATATTTTGAAAGATGGTGCATTTGTGAGCTTCATCAGATGTTAATTTTCTGCTCAAAACCATATTGAATTCATCTGGAGTGCAATGATTTAGATATAATCGATTGACATACTTAGCATATTCAAATAGAAATTAGCTGACCGTACTAATTCCAGGAAAAAATAGATCATTGTAGTACTCGAGTCTTGTCTGGTCATCAAAATCATGGGGTTTAACAGAAAAAATTATGCTGCATGTGAAAATAACACATCATAATGAACAGAGGCATTGGACTTGAACAACAATAGCAGGAAATATAATCTTCTGTAAGTAGCAACTATTATAGTTGGAGTCAAGTTACCCTGATTTGGAGTAATTGGTCTAGTCAAAATATATGTGTAATATACAATGAAATGAAAAGATTTGGAGTAATTGGTCAAGTCACTATCAGATCAGCACCTTATTCGATTCAATAATCAGTTTATTATCTGCAAGACTGAGACCGATGTTTTAACCATGAAATAGTAACTACCACAATGGGTTTGAGGACAATTTCAGCATGAATGTGGTTTGAATTAATGAATTGACAATTTGTTGTAGCACTACAAATGTGTTAACATGTGGAGAAAAAAAAAAGAGAGAGAAATAAGAAAGAAAAGGCACAACATGTGGAAGTGGTGGTTTTTAAAATGTATCATAAAAACTGGGGAAAAAATGACTGAAAGTGTAATATCAGAACAAAGGGATGGATTTTCGATTTTGCATCTGTGGCAAATGCTTAAGGGCCACAGAAATATATCGATTGTGACAAGGATTAAACTGCCAAATGCAGAAACGAGATGGTTTAGTTGTTTGCTGAGGTTTACAAGTTAGATTGAGTCTACTAAACATGGTTTCAAGCACCCAATATTAAACGTCAACAANTATTCGAATTATGATGAGGTACAATCAGTTTTATTCGGCAAAGAAAATGTGAGTTGAGGATTCAAGACTATACTATAGTGTATTCAAGTTCCAGATGATCGGTCTTTTTTTTTTCATCAACAATCATAGTATTTCTCAACTATAACAACAGACCTCAGAGAGATATAGTTACCAAACAGACAAATTCATGCATACAAATGCAGAATTCAACACAAGTAAAGAAAAAAATTGAATCTTTTTCGCTTTAAAGTAATTGGTGACTTAAGAAAACAAACCCTTAATTTTCTGAATTCAAACTAAAAGGAGCAACCTTTTACACACACATTATAAGGTTTCAATTCCAATTAAAAAAGTACGACAAAACAAGCAGAACCCAACAACCTCAAAGTTGCAACAGGCTTTGCCTTCACAACTGAGTTGAACTCCGAAATACAAAACCCCAAATTACCAAACATCCCATTACACCACCAGTCTTAAAAAACCCATCAATTTGCAAAAATCAAAGATTTAGTTAAACATTTCCACTCGATATCAGGAAGAAAA